TAGCCTATATAAATCGAGACTTAATATTTAGTTAGTTTGTTTATTTATTATATCAAATATTATGATTTATAGTAGGCCTATGTCTATTTTCTTACAGAAATGGATGGTACTTTTTAAATCACTTCTTTAGTTTATTTATTCGAATTTCACTAACTTGTGTTCAGTTTGTTCTTTAGTGAATGAACATCTGTTTGTCATTGCATTTGAAGATGATTGATAATTATTATTAATAATAATATTAATAATAATAGTATTAAATAGAATTAAACTAGAGGTGGTGCCTGGCCCTAGGCCTAACATGGAGAAGATATATATCTTCTCCATGAGAAGTGGACAATAGGAATAGGCCTAGGCTAGCTCTCCTTTTAGTAGTAGGATTAGGGCCTAGGGTACCATCCAAACTAGGTTGGTTAGTGTAGTACTGTAGTTAGTAGGCATAAGTACGGAGCCCCTAAAGGGACATGGTTAGAAAAATATTAGCTATTTCAAGGGAACCAAATAATTATTCAAAGGAGTATTGTTTTGAGAGAACGAAATAATATTTCAAAATATTATTTCTTTCCCTTGAAATCAGTGTGCGACGGCCCATCATTGAGAGCGTATTCAGTGAATTAAATTGCATTGCTTGCAAAATGTTATGTTAATGAAAGTGGACACCCCTATTAAGGGGACAATTTCTGAGTGTGCCAAATGGTCAAATAATCCCTATTAAGGGGTCACCAAATTTTTTTATTTTATCACAACAAATAGAGCAGCTACAAAATAAGAAAAATTCATTCAAATTTTTATTTTTAGATTTTTTGAGCAATAAACCAGAATTATATCCCTGAATCATTAGAGTGAACATCGGTACAGGCCTACTGCATGTGTGTGAATCTATTTCATGAATTAATTATAACCAGAGAGCCAAAAATATTATGTCCGGGAACCCAATCTCAAGTATTGTATTTGCAGAGCCATGTGCATGCATTGTGTGTGACTCAGAACCATCCATTGTACAGCGGGGTATAAATAAATGCATTTAACACGACGTGTGTTGTAAGTGAACTATTCACTGATTAGGCAATGGTTAAGCCTTACATTTTTAGGAATCCCCACCGAAGATTGTTATAAAAGCAACGTATATTCAATCAATAAATGTTGTTTTTATCAAACATAAATATGATTTAGATTTATATTAGTGTAAAATTCGATAGATTGGAAGAATATAAATAATTTGCTAAAGGTAGACAGGCCAACCTAAGGCCCAACTGTCACAGTAAAAGCAGCCACCCTAAATAATTGTTCGCTGTCAAAAAGACGGCCGGACGTCTCGCTGGCTAAGCCTATGCCTCCATATAAATAAGATAAACATAAAATTCTTCTCTGATTATTTACAAATGTAATTCAATTCCCCCAACTCTAATTATTTTTATTATTAAAATGACAGTTTATCATTATTATTTATCATTATTGTTATGTTTGGAGCCTTCATTAGTATTACAGTAGTTTGCATGGATCATTGGGTTTCAATAAAGGTCATTTTAATTTTTGATTTGAATTGTTTTAATGTGTTATCTAAGATAGAATAGTCAGATGCCAATTCACTAGAGGTCAGGTGAATCATGTTCACCTCAATCAAAGTGCTGAAGAATGGAGCAGTAACACCAGTTCCTTCTGCTGTCGTCTCTTTGTCTCTTCAGTTGTTTCCCTTGGATAGTATACGCTATATACAAGTACACAGTCATAATCATTACCATCTATTACCATTACCATTTCGTAAGGGACACGTTTTTGGGTACTGATGGTGCCCCCTTAATATTGGCCCAGTTCCTCTGTATTTGCTAGGCCTAGTAGCACCTCCCTGATATTTTGGCTACTTCAACTTGCTTCATCAGTTGGTAAGCTGCTTTTAGACTCATCCAAAACGTGATTGTTAATTCATCGTTGATGTTGGCGGATGTTCTTTGTACTGACCTGAGCGATTCACTCCTCATCATCCCTTTATTTTGAAAAATTGTAGAAATTGAGACATACCGCTAAACCATACACTGTAAGGTAACAAATGTTATAATTGACTGGACCATTGATTGTTAAAATAGAATAAGAAAAGTAGTTTATCCTTTGTAAATCCTAGAGTATGTGTACTCTATATTATGAACTTGCATTTTTTAATTTCAGGTGACAGTGTCTTAAATGCTGCTTCCACTGACTCTGAGAACCTTTATCTAGAGCACTACCATGGAAGTCTTCCAATCCGCTCCCAGATTGTACTCTTTGTTCTCAACTATTGTAGGAGTGGTGCCTTCAAAGTCATCTTCTGTAATACTGACATCAAAACTATGTCCACCAGTTGTAAAAATCCGTCATTATGCATCCCTAATGACCTTGAACATGATTGGATAGATTTAAAGGATATACCAGATGTCGTGCTTCAGAGTTGCTTTCCTTCTGTTCTGACATCAAATGGTTTACTTTGTTGTGTTGGGCTGTGCATTGTCTTGCGAAGAATTGTACAGCAAACTCATAACAAATATCCAGAGAGAAATTTGATATCACTATTGGTAAAGTATGTTTACGTTCAGTTAGACCAATGAGTGTGGGTAATCATTTTTTTCAGTGGCGGATCCATGAGTTCAAAATAGAGGGTGGGAGGGGGAGGGGTACTTTCACAGATGCAGGGTGTAATCGACCCAGGGACGTAGCCTGGATTTTGAAAGGGGGGAACCGTTATGCGAGATACGTACGACCCCGGTGGGGTCCAGGGGGACGAACCCCCCTCCCCTGTGAAGTGGCGCACTCTGAACGTTTTAAGGACTGTTTTGAGAGGATAAAGTGACAATTGCATTAGACACATCCATGAATTCGAAAGATAGGTGTCGCAGGGAGGGATTTTCACAGACTGAGGAACCACCCACCTTAGCCCCACTATGGTTGGGGCTGAGGTAAGAAAATTTATGATTAGGGCACCTCTAGATTGCCGGAAATTACACTTTCATACTTAAATTTGAATATATTTTCCTTTTGTTTTTTTCCTCAAAAAAAAAAAAATTATTATCTAAAATAGTCATAATCACGAAAAAGGGGCATGAAAAACCAGATCACATTCTAAAAACAAATTTATGCCCCTTCTTCTCAGCAGTCACAAGACATACTCTGAGTCAGGTGCCGACTCGATGCAGTTTAATGTCATACCCAGAAGGGCGCAGATCTGTTTTTTAAGGTTGAGGGGGAGGACATTTTGTGAGTCTGCACCTACCTCAGACTCACCATAGTTGGAGCTGAGGAGCGAAAATGTGAGGAAATAGTACCTCCAGCTAGATGGCCAGAAACAACACTTTTAGTAAAATTCATTATCATCACATCACCGTTACCGGTAGTCCAGACGAAGCGCCAAAAAAAATCTCATGGTCTTTTTTATCAGGGATTTTCTGCAACCAAAAAGATCTTATTAATGTGTGTGATATACCATAGAAAACAAAGCTTAAAAACATTGTCTTTGAGTGTGTTCTTTACATACTTCAAAACCGTGATTTCCCAACCACCTCAGCCCCACCATAGTTGGGGCTGAGGTGAGAAAATTTGAGGAAATAGTACCTCTAGATGGCCGGAAATCACACTTTCACGTAGTAAAATTCATCATCATCACATCACCATTACATAGTCAAAATGGAACGCCAACAAATCACAACTTTATTTTTTGCCTTAGCACAATTTCCTTCACATTTTAATATTGTTAATATTACTATCAATTATCATCACCACCATCATCATCATCATCACCACCATTATTATTATTATTATTATTATTATTATTATTATTGAATTGAATTGAATTACTATTATTATTATTATTATTATTATTATTATTATTATTATTACTAATAGTATAGTATTATTAAACAATAGGCCCTACTTTAAAGAAGCTTGCAAAAGGTTTGAGCCATACAGTATCACATTTCTGTATCTTAAAAGACTTGGCATGGGATTTATGGATTTTAAAAAATCATGCTTAGACATGTGTTATAATTATAGTAGGCCAGGCCTACAGTATGTAAAACGAGTACGGATGCATTTTTACGTATTTTAGAAGTATTCATTTTGAGTGGTCCCAGAAAATAATTTGTATTGGCTCAAAAAAAAGCTATAAAAATTTTACACTGTGTACAAAGGGTGGGGGGGAGCCGCGGCTCCCACGATACGTCCTGGATACGTCCCTGAATCCACCTCAGCACCACAATGGTTTTGGTTGAGGTAAGAAAATTTATGATTATGGCACTTTTAATGGCCGTAATGGCACTCTCAGACTTAAATTTAAACATAATTTTTCTTTTTTTTTTCTTCATTTAGAAAAATCATTTTGACAAATTTATTTGAATCCCGGCTGGCTGGGCCTTCTTACTGTGAATCTACTGTACCTCTGTTTTTGTTATGCTATTAATCAATAATTTTCATGCCAGGTTTATGGCTAACTGTATGTTTACTAGCATAAGTTGAAATTTATCATTAGATTATCGTTGCTATTTACAGTACCTATAATACACCAGGTTAATACACAATAATATCTGTCTCTTATACACATCTAGATGTGTATAAGAGACAGATTATTATTATTACACTATTATTACATTAACTATATTGATATGTCTTCAGAAATAAGTTTAATAAGATAACAGGCCAAGCTTAAATGTCAAGAAAACAGTCAGTTGAATCCATTCTCAGAGAGTTAAGTAAATTGTACTGTTTTATATTATATTTTCATTTTTTAATTTGAAAAATATGGAATAAGTTTAATTAATCGATATAGCTATTGCAATATAAGAAATTTGCACATTACAATTTACATTATTATTAGACTAAAATACAAACAATATTGTTGACTTTATTATTTAAGTGTGTTATTCATTATTATTAGCAATACACTTGCTTTGTATTACTACTACCAA